TGGAAGAAAGACAGCCTCTTCGACAAATGGTACTAGATGTCCACATGCAGAAAACTGAAATTGCATCCCTATTTATCACCATGCTCCATCATTAGTTCAAAATGGATCAAAAACTTCAATGTAAGTCCTGAAGCCATGAAACTATTATAGGAAGAAGTGGGAGAAATCTTGGGACTCCTAGGCACAGGCAGGAACTTTCTGAGTAGGGATCCAGAAGCACAGCAAGTCAAAGAACAACTTGAGAAACTGGATTGAATCAAACTAAAAAGTTTCTGCATGGCAAAAGACATAGCTAATAATCTAAAAAGCCTACAGAATGGGAGAAGATTTTTGCCATTGACACATCAAACAATGGCCTAATAAAAAAAAAACACAGAGAGCTTTAAATACTAAAGTCTCCAAGAACCCAATTAATAAATGGGATAATGAGCTAAAAAGTTTTCTGCTAGGCACCCAGTGGCTCCAGCCTGTAATCATAACTATTCAGAAGGCTGAGACCTGAGAATCACAGTTTAAAGCCATCCCCAGCAAGAATGTTTATAAGACTCTTAACTCCAATTAACCACAAAAAGCTGGAAGTGGAGCTGTGGCTCAAATGATAGAGTGCCAGCCTTGAACACAAAAGCTCATGAACAGCTCCCAAGACTTGGGGTGGGGGGCAGGGGAGGGGGGGAAAGAGAAAGAGTCTTCTCAGACGTAAAAATGGCCATCAAAGAAATTTCTTGCTAGCATTAGGAAATGAGGTAGATACTCAAATAAAGGTGAATTTGGTATGATGATTATTTTTTATCTCTTCCCCACCAATTTCTCTAAGTTCTCCAGCTACCCTAGGTAGCTCTTTATCCAAATGAAACAATATAACTTAAATATATATATATATATATATATATATAAAATGGTATTTATCAATTTTTTTGCTCCTAAAAACATGACATGGAAAAAAATCCACCAAATGGGGAAAGTTCAAATGATGGAGTCAGACACTGAAGAAATGTCTTTCAGGATTATGAATAGAGAGAGAAAAAATGAGTTTCCATAGTATTCCTCAATTCACACAAAAAGATCCACCTACTTACAGCTATGATGTTGGCTTAAACACATTAACACTAGATAATAAAAAACATTTTCCTCTACAGAATTCCTCCTACACCAAACTTTTCCTGGTTGAAATGCTAAAAATAACCAGAAATCTTTTTTTTTCCCAGATATACTTTAACCAAGGTAGTGCTGGACACTTCAGTACAAATTCTGTGCCCAGAAGGCATTCCCATCTGCCATTTTTAAATACAGGATGTAGGAAGCAAGATCTTGAACTGAGCATGCTCAATACCATGCCCATCTCTGCAAGTGATGATAATGGGTCTTTGCAAAATGAATGTGCATTGAAGTTTCCCTAACAAACTCTTCTTGCCTTCTGTGCTCCAGGAGACACTTCCATGGTGTTATCTTTGTGCAAGTAATAAATTTTACTTCAGTCCTTCATTTGGTGGTTCTATTTACAGTACTGCCTTTACACTTACTAAGGGGATGAGCCCATTACTTTCATCTACTTCCAAATGCTAGATCTGACACTGGGAATGCCATTGGAATGAAATGTTGCTGGTGGGGCCTAGAAAGTTAAAAGAATCTTGATTTATAAGGATCCAACTCTCAGATGATGCTTGGAGGTGTCTGTGGAAATTACAGGCGCTTGTAGATGTGGACTTAAATTTTGGGGTGAATGTTTCTACAGCAAGCTGAGCAACAAAAAATAAACCTCAAAAGATACATATCTTTGCTTTCAAAACTACATATTAAAGATCCTGTGTGCCTTCTGCAAATGAGAGGAGATTTCAACTAAAAAAAAAAAGGAAGCTACTGCTATTAAAAGAAGTTTAAAGTTTGGTTTATAGGTGATAACCTCTGAGGTAGTATGAAAACTTTAATATCCCGAACATCAAATAAAAATGAAACTGTGTGGACATAATTCCAAACCGTGTTTTTCAAGGTTAGATTGTACACAGGGCCAGTCCATTCTGAGAGCCCTGGCACTTAAATATGACAAATAACAAATTTGTTTATATGTTCCTCAGAAGTGGAGTAACTTCTTGTTCATGACATCTCAAGATACTTAATTTCCTTTTTCTTCCTCTTTTTTGTGCGAGTACAGGGGCTTGACCACAGGACCTCATGATCTCACTCACTTTTTTTCCATTCAGGGCTAGTGTTCTACCACTCCTGGCCCAGCTAGCTTCCAACCTCAGCCTCCTGCATAGGGCAGATTACAGGTTAAGCCACTGGCTCCCAACTTAAAATTCCCTTTCCCTTCACTCTTCACCTGTTAACAAACAAACATCCATTTGATAGCTCACCACAATGAGATGGTCTATCATTATCACTCCTGGATATTACAGCAGATGCACTTATACTAGCAATATTCTGACTGTGATTTTCTATATGTTTTTATGAAAAAGGAAAATCATAGATTTTGTAAAACCATAATGCAGTAATTTAAAAAAAAAGAACAATATGTAATTTTGGTATTCTACTGAAAACATTTACTAGCAGTTCAGATACAAGAATATAAATTCCAATCTTTTGGAAGCATAAATAACATATTGATAATTAGGTAACATACCAGTCTGAAGTTAGTTTAATTGCTTGCCATATTTTTTCTCATATGCCATATACTTTGATATAAAATTTCAGTTACTAAAAAAAACATGTTTTTCTGTCTAATTTACTTATGTTTCTGCTATTTCTCAACAATACTAGGTATTAATTATCTGAAACAAAATTACAATTGTTGCTATATTATCTCTACCACCAGGCAGAAATCTTAGTTCCTACTAACCTCTATAAATGTCCATATTATTTGGGAGATGCATTCTTTAATGAAAAGACATAGGAAGATCAGTTGTGTTTTTTAAAAAAAGATACTACAATGAAATCAAATAAATTTTGTTCAGAACATGAAAACTACTTATCTAGAACACATTTTCTAATAATGATGATGATAGTAAAATGTCATCATTATGAGCACAGTACCTTTATAGGTCAAAATTCTTTAAAGTAACAGAAACCAGTCTGATTTAGTGTTTCTTTATGGCTGCTCATGTTAGTTTTGCTTCTGCCAGTGAAAAGCCAAATGAAATTTAAATAACCAATGATCAATTACAAATAATTACTAATAATCAAGTCCAAGGCCTATTTGTATCAGTCAATTTAGGTAACTCATTAACACAGAGAGATACATGTTTCTCACTGCCTAGCTATGACACAGTTTCAGAACCAATCATGAAGATGAAGTCTCCTGCTTGGTGAAGAGCAGGTGTGTAAGAAAATAAGATGGGTTTTTAGACTTGGAAGAGATGAAAGTCTGATTGCTTGGTATTCTGAAGATTGGTTCTATCAGCCTGCAAACACCCTCTCATTATTTAAATCTCACACTCTGTAAAACACTTTGGGATACTTTGCCAGCAAGATAAAAAACAAATTAAACTGAAGGGCCCACATGGATGCAATCTCTTATTCTGGAAACACCATCACTGACAGCTTCACAAAAAAACATATAAATCCTTCAAAATGTTTTTCCAAAGGATGGACAGCATTACCAAGGAGTCAAAAAATAAAAACAGCGGAATAATCTGCAGGAATGTGGTTCTCCTTACAGCTTCTATATTTCTGTATTCCATCCTTTGAGCTCTTGTTACTTTTTATAGCAGGTAACTATTTGTTTGTAAGATCGCAATCTTTTCTAAGTCACCATGTCTTCATGCAAAAGTTTCCCAACTTGGTAAAAGTGGCACTCTGCATATAATCAGTGTTGGAAAACATTTCCTAATATGAAAGAACAGTAAGTTCTTTGAATATCTACAAAAAAAAAAAAAAAACAACACCCTTGTTGTGAAAATGAAATGAACTTTATCTTCAGCCAATTCAAAATTACTCTTTCCCCATGAAGCTGGGCAACTAGACAAGGCTCTGTCTTCAAAAGAAGTACTTTAATTCCCCCTCAAAAAAGGGATTACTCTTTCCTATACACACACTCTACTCTCTTTCATTCCTGCTGTTCTTTCTGTGGGGAATGACTTTTCCTAATTATCCCAAATCCTATGCAGCCTTTAGGGTCTGAGCAAATTGGCTCTTTACCGAGCTTGCCTTCTTCTCCCAACTTTCCGCTACTTTTATCACAAACAGGAAACTGTACGGCATAAGTGTTCACATATGTGCACATAGGTGTGCGTGCACGCACCGGCGCGCACACACACGCGCCTTTTTAAAAACTTAGTCTCTCCACTTGCTGCAAGGCTGGCCTGGCACTGGCAATCCTCCTGCCTTAGCCTCCTGAGGGCTGGGCTCACACGTGCATGGCAGCAGGCTGGGACCCTTTTGAAGAGGTTCGGGAACCTTCTCTAGGGAGGTTACACGGAGAGGCCAGGAGGAGGGGCAGACGTTTCGGGCTGGGAGAACGCTTCGGCCGGGAACAAGGCAGGTGAGCCCACGGGGGACAAGTGCTCTGTGCGGTGCTCCTGGGCGCAGCCTCCCCGCACGCCTGCCCCAGGTCACCCAGCTTCCCCACGGGGGCCACACCTGTGGAAACTTCGGTGCATCTCCCCTCGGCCAGCCTCCTCCACTCCGGGAAGCGGCAAAGGCCTTCAAAGCCTGCAAGGACCTCACCTCGGTCCCTTCCCTGCGCCGGGGAGGTACAGCAAGCCTTCCATTTGGTTTTCCCTAAGTCGTGCAGTACCCTTCGTGGTTTTGAAATTAAAACCCAGAGCCAGACCCAGAAACAATCCGAAGACACCTGAGGGAGGAAGACGCACCTCACAGGTCCTAGGGGAAGATGAGAGCAAACTACAACTCCCACAAGGCATTGGGGCCGCGAGACCCACAATGCCCGGCGTCCTCCGCGAGGCCAACGACGGGAGTTCAGGGGAAGATTGTCCGCGGGAGCTGTGGAGAAACGGTGGCGTTTGAGGCGATGGCCACGTCTGGAGGGGAGCCTGAGGCCGCGACAGAGCCACTGGATGTAGCCTGCGGCCTGGAGAACCTGCCCGTGAGCGTGTGGCCCCCGGGGGCGAGGCCGGCGCCCTTCCAGGTAGGGGCGGGGCTATGAGTCCTTCCGGGTAGGGTGGGCGGAGCTAGGCGGGCTTCCAGGTGGGCGTGGCTAAGAGACCTTCCGGGCAAGGGCGGGGCTAGGCGGCCGCGGGGAAGGGGTTGGGGGAAGGGATTTTTTTAATGGAAAGGTTGTAGTATACTGAGTGTGTGTGTGTGTGTGTGTGTGTGTGTGTGTGTGTGTGTGTGTGTGTGTGTTAGTGTTACTGGGATTTGAGCTTGACCTTGTGCTGGCTACTTTTACTCTCTTCCTCTTGAACCACATTCCCTGCCCTTTTATCTTTCACTATTTCTATGAATAGTGTCTTGCCGGCTCCCACCAGTCAGGACAACCCTCCTATTTACGCATCGCAAATAGCTGGGATACAGATGTGCACCACTGCATTCAGGCTGTTTTTGTTTTAGTTGGTTGAGATGGAGTCTTAGGAACTTTGTACCTAAGCTAACTTGGAACTCTAACTCTTTGGATCGCAGCCTCCCAAGTGTTAGGATTACAGACGTGAGCCACCATGCCCAGTGATTTTTTTTTTTAATTCAAAAACTAATGAGTGCTTATAATATGGCAGGCTCTTGGAGATAAGTCTCTTGCCTCCAATTAAGACTCTTATCTCGAGTTAACCACAAAAAACTGGAAATGGAACTGTGGCTCAAGAGGTAGAACACTAGCCTTGAGCACAAAAAATTGGGGACAGCAGCCAGGCCCAGAGTTCAAGCCACAGGACTGTCAAAAAAAAAAAAAATCAAACAAACAAAAATCCTCATATTGCCTTCAAACTGTTTTTTGCCCCTGATACTGGGGATCTAACTCAGGGCTTTACATACCTAGGCAACTGCTGTACCACTGAGCCCATCTTCAAATAATTCTCTTCCATATATTGAGGGAACACAAAACTACCCCTCTAAAAGCTCAAAATTGCTTGCATGTTTGCTCTAACCCATGATTTTACAGGTGCATGCACCCCAAGAATTAAGGCATGAAAAAAGTCAAGGTAAAAATAACTTTGTTTCTGATCTGCTTTCCCTTACTGTGTGAAAAGGCAAAATAATAAGATTCAGATGTTCAGATTGGAAGCAAGTATATCATAATGTCATCAGTGTTGAAAGCCAAGTAGAAAATAAACTAATTGATCTCTGGAGCTAGGAGTCAGATTTAATCATTTGTCAGGTCTCTGAAACCAGCTTCAAACATTTTTAAGATCTTCACTGGGCCTTGACAAGAATTAGCTGGCTCACAGTCTCCTAATAACTGCTTAGAGCAAAAACAAACTTAGGAGGCTAGAAGCCAAGTACAGAGATTCTTGTAGCTGGGATTTCAGCACAACCAAAAAAGGAAAGAACACACTTCCTTGTATAATACGATTCAGAACTGAGGTCCAGTTTGAATCCCACAATATTATATGGTGTCACACTTCAGTCTCTAGGACTTTGATACATAATGCGACTCAGAAAACTCAAGAACTTCCAGTCCAGTGTTCTCAAGGGCTAAAACCAAACAATCAAACAGTACTTGCTGAGCCTGTTCCGTAGGATAAGAATTCTACCTCTGGCCAGGCACCAGTGGCTCACGCCTGTAATCCTAGCTCTTCAGGAGGCTGAGATCTGAGGATTATGATTCAAAACCAGCCCAGCAGGAAAGTCTGTGAGATTGTTATCTCCAATAAACTTCCAAAAAAGTCATAAGTGGAGCTGTGGCTCAAACGATAGAGCTTTAGCCTTGGGCAAAAAGAAGTTTAGGGACAGTACCCTGGCCCTGACTTCAAGCCCCAGGACCAACAAAAAAATAAAAATAAAATAAAATTTCATTGTAGAACCTTTTAAAATAAGATGCTTTTCTAAAACATCTTTTATTTTTTTTTAACTTAAGAATCTCAAAACCTTATAAGTAAAAGTCAGCAAATAACACTATTTTTCAACAAGGAATAACATGCTTTCCTAGTTAGAAAACTACTTGAAGTCAGACTTGGTCATAAAGGGAGTTATCTGTTTGAAAAGAATCACTGTAAACAGTTTAGTGGTTTATATAGTGCACTTATAACCTGAAGAAGAAATCAATTTAAAAAGGACCTTTATGAAAAGTTTCATAATGGTGAATAAAAATCCTCATTTGACAAAATCATCCAAGTGTTTGGGCAACCATTCACACCTCAGCGTGGAGTCCTTTAAGAGCTGGAAGCAGCCCCTGTGTGGGGCAGCACTGGACTGGATGGACAGATGCATGTTTGCCTAGGCCTTCCCTTCTCCCTGGGCCACACCCCGCTGAGCAGCAGCTGGAAGAAACAACACAAAACAGGAGCACTTTTGCTCTCCACCCCCAAATCACTTTCCCAGCAGCAGTTAGTCTGCTGTCACTGCTTCTCCCACTCATCACCCTCCTCTCTCCTCACTCCTCAGTCCTCCCCCAGCTCTGTGCTTCTTAAAATACAAGGAACAGCACTGAACTGCACAGCCCCGCCAAAGGCTCAGCTGCACTGAGAGACACTGATGGAGGACTGACTGAAGGACATTTGGGGCCTAGCTCCTCCATCCACTCTGTTCATCTGGTGTCCTGTAGAACTGTTTGGGACAGCATGCCAGAAGTCTTTATTCAGGGGCAGAATGAAAATCAGCTCCCAGAAACTGCTTCCTGGAAAGAACGGCTGAGGACACCTCAGTGAAATTTCTCTCTGGCCTCACTACTAGAACAAGCCACTGCTGCTTCTGCGCAGTGAGCTTGTTGCTTACAGACAATGCAAGGCTTCCCTCTGACCACACAGCCCTCCTTGCAATGGCTGCTCTCAGATGAAGCCAAATATCCACTGTGCGCCCCTTGCACGCATTGTCTATCCAAACTCACTACACAGACAGGTCTGCTCTTATTTCCTGTTCACCTGGGGTTACTCGCCTTTATGTTACTGCAGCAAAATACTTGAGGTAAGCAACTTGGAAGGCTTATTTGGGCTTATAGTTTTGGAGGTTCCAATCCGAGGCTGGTTGGCCCCACTGCTGTGGCGCCTGGCTGAGGCAGAGCACCACAGTGGAGGTATGTGAGCCAGGAGGCTGCTAACCGCATGGGTGCTGAGAAGGGAGGCTGAGGCCCCCAGAGCCTCTTGAGTCCCATGACTGGTCTTCCTCCCACTAGGTCCTACCTTTTCAAAGTTCCACCACCTCCCAACTGTGTTGTGGGAAACGTTTATCCAAACCAGAGCATAGCTCACATTTTCTTCCCTGTTGTTTATTTATCTTGCCTCTTTGCAAATCTCATTAAGTCCTTCTTGGAACAAGGGTGGAATAAATGAACAATGAATAAATGTAAGCAAGGATTATTCTACACCACCAGACATGGTGGTGCACACATGTGACACCAGCTCTCTGGACACTAAGGTAGGAGCAACACAAGTTCAAGGTCAAGAACTTGTCCATGAGGAAGGGAGGAGGAGAAGAGAGGAGAGGAGGGAAAAGAAGGGGAGGGGAAGGGAGAGGAGGAGAGGGGAGAAAAGGGGAGAGGAGAGGAGAGGGGAGGGGAGAGGAGAGGGGAGGGGAGAGGAGAGGAGGGGACGGGTCAGGAGAGGAGAAGACAGGAGAGGAGGAAATCTATATATTACAAATATGCTAGGCTCATGAGAGACACCTTAATCTTCAGAGGCTGAAAATCTACTTCATGATGCCAGCAAAGAATAACCAGACATCAGGCTTCACACAGAGATTTTAGACTTAGGGTTTTCTTCTTTTTCTGTATCATTTAATAAATGTAATGTTCTGAAAATAGAGGCACATTGCAAAAAACCAAGAGATGTTTTAGATTATCACCTTTTCATTTAAAGATCAAGATGACAGAAATCAGATCTTGAATTGCGTGCAAATAATAATTCAACAAACATTTCCCTGATGTCCAAATTTGAAGGAAACAAAATGAACTCCAAAGCTGTTTCTGGTATATAAAATTGGGAAGTGGGTACTATTATTTAGCCTTTTGCTTAAAATGAACCCACAGAAGTTTAAATATAAAAATTAGTATCTTTTCAATTGGAGAGTGATCTTTTTGGGTACTATTTTAGTGTACTACGATGTAAAGAGTTTTGTCTTGTCTGTTTTTATGTATGTTAGAATTATCTAGTATCCAAGCCAAAAGCTTCATGTACAGTACATACATACATACACACACACACACACACACACGAGCTCTATGACATGGCATGCTAATGAGTGTTTCTGTTTCTTACAGTACAGTCCCGACCATGTTACTGGGCCTGGAGCAGACATGGACCCCAGTCAAATAACCTTTCCTGGGTGTGTCTGCAGCCAGACTCCTTGCGTCCCCGGCACCTGCTCCTGCCTCCTCCATGACAAGAACTACGATGACAGTTTGTGCCTCAGAGACATAGGACTGGAAGCAAAGTATGCCCGGCCTGTTTTCGAGTGCAATGCCCTGTGCCGGTGCAGCCCCCACTGCCCAAACAGAGTGGTCCAGAGAGGGCTACAGGCCCACCTGCAGGTGTTCCTGACAGACAGGAAAGGCTGGGGACTTCGGACCTTGGAACTGATCCCAAAGGGAAGATTCGTCTGTGAGTACGCTGGGGAGGTTCTAGGCCTCTCTGAAGCGCAGAGGAGAATTCACTCCCAGACAATCGATGACTCGAATTACATTATTGCCGTCAGGGAGCACGTCTGCGAGGGGCAGGTAATGGAAACGTTTGTTGACCCTACCCACATAGGCAATCTCGGGAGATTCCTCAACCATGCCTGTGAGCCAAACCTGCTGATGGTCCCCATCCGCGTGGACTCAATGGTGCCCAGGTTGGCACTTTTTGCAGCCAGAGACATTGTGCCAGGAGAAGAGCTTTCCTATGACTACTCAGGAAGATTTCTTAACCTGGCAGACACTGAGGACCAGGAAGGGTTAGACCGTGGGAAACGACGAAAACCTTGTTACTGTGGTGCCAGGGCGTGCACCGCTTTTCTGCCTTATGACAGTTCTCTGTATGGTCCCTTGGAAGAGGCAGACATCAGTTAAGAATGAAATTCCACCACGTATCATCACCTCCGCCCCCGCCCCGCCTCTCAGCGGGCAGGAATCACGAGGATCCCAGCAGGCTTGCCCACTTCTGTGCCCCTTTCTGCAGGCACCTTACTCTCAGTCTCCCTGTAAGGGGGCCAGCTGGGCCGCTGCCTGGTTGCCTAGGTTTCATTCTGGAAGGTGACAGAGACTACAAATTGTCCACCAATATCCCTGTAACACAATTCTCATTTTTACCTACAGACATGACCACCCATTTAAGGTGTGGTGTGGCAAGGTGATCACATCCTAACTAATGGGATAAACAAAAATTGGCACGTGCTTCCGGACTCTTGTGTTTCTTCCTGTAAGCTGGCATGGATGCACAATGGGTCTGCCATCCTAGCCTCCATGGGCTGGGCCTAGCCAAGCCACCAGATGAAAGAGGAGTAGTGTGCGGGTTGCTGTGGAGACACTGTGGGACATGTGGGTGGACTTCCAGGCGGGGCCGTCCCCCTTGGTTAGGCAGACCACTACTATGCTCTTGCCTGGAACCAAATCATGACCAGAGAAAACCCGTGGGGCTGCACTCCAAAGCCTGCCTTCCACCCGCTCTACCAGAAATAAAGCTTACCTTGCTTTCCTGCCTGCCTGCCTGCCTGCCTACTGTATCTTATTTATTTGTAAGCACAAATTAAGGAAAAGGCCTAATTATCACCTGCTAAAACATTAAACCACCAATAATGAAAAACTAAAAGCCAGAAAAGTGGGGGGGGGGGATATAAAACCAAGGCATCAATTTTAAAGACCTTATTTGCTAATGATGTATCAAAATTGTATATTCACTAATTGTAGCAAATGTGCCATCATGAGATGAAATGTAATATAAACATGTAGTGAATGGTGTTAATAAACGGGGACGTTGGTACAGGTGTGTAGGAATTCTATACTGTCTTCTCCATTTTGGAACTGTTCCATAAATATCAACTATAAAAGAAAATACACCAAAGTCTTGACCTGTTCCTCCAAAGAAGACACACAAAAGTAGATAAGCCATGTTTAATATCATTAGTTATTAGAGATGTATGAAGGAAAAAACACACACCACATACCACTTCACAGGCCTTCAGATAGCTATAATCAAAAGGTTTTCATAATAAGACCAGGTATACTTGGCTCACACCTGTAATCCCGACTACCCAGGAGGCTGAGACCTGAGGAACTATCACAGTTCGAAGCCAGTTTGAGCAAGAAAGTCCATGAGACTCTTTATCTCTAATTAACCACCACCAAAAAGCCAGAGAAGGAGCTATGGCGCAGGGCGGGGGGGGGGGGGGGGGGGGGGGGACGCAGGGCGCGCCGAGTCCTCGGAGACAGCGCCCAGTACCGGCACACACCCATGCACATATACAGGACACACAGGACAATGACAGATGCTAACAAAGTTGTGGAGAAAGTTGACCCCTCATGTATTGCTCGAAAAATGGCAAAACTGTGCAACTACTCTGTGAATCAGTTTCTTGAATTATGAATATAATCACTGAATGTAACTAGATATAAACCAACAAAACTCCAAGTGTGGTCGCAAAATATTTGTTCACTAACACCCATAACATTGCAATACTATAATAGTAACAAAAAATGAACGAAACCCAAATGGCTAGTAACCCATGAATGAAGAAACTATGATAACCATATAAATAATATGATGACATAGTATTCAATCACAAAATAAATAAAATACTAAACATGACACAGATGACCCTTGAAAAAGATACCAAACACAAAATTTCACAGTTATTTTTTGGGGGAGAGGGGGCGGTATTGGGAATCTAATTCCAGAGCCTTCTATTATAGACAAAGACTTGCACCACTGAGCTACATTCCCAGTCCCAAATGGATTCTGTTCATGTGAAATATCCAGAGTTGGCAATTCCACAGAGATACAAAGTGGCTGAGTGGCTGCGAGAGGCCGGTGATGAGAAGTGGTACTCAGAGAGACTGCTCAGTGCTCACAGACACAGCACAGATCTGAGATACTGCAGGAGATGACAGTGTAGAGTTAGTGGCAACGTTAAGTGAATTCTAACTCCATAAAAGAAAAGGAGGAGGAAGATAACACACATAGGAGGGACTCCCTGGGGAAGTGGTAGTAACCTGTAACTGTGAACATGTTTCAGGAATAACACTGTTTAGACCCCAGGAATTCATGCTTCCCTACAAAAAAAAAAAAAAAGACTACCAACTGTTGTGTGATGTCTGTGTGTTGAACAGTCAGCACACCAGAGATGGCCTGCAGGGAGAACTGCACAACAGAAATGCTTGGTTTGATAAGGAAGGAGACAAGTTCATTAACTTACCAGATCATTCATGTAACTGGAATAATAGTATCTATTTTCTTCAGAGTATAGGGTATCAATTTTCCTGTTTCTTTTTTTTTTTTTTGGGTCTGGTCATGGGGCCTGAACTCTGGGCCTGGGTGCTGTCCCTCAGCTCTTCAGCTCAAGGCTAGCGCTCTACCACTTGAGCCACAGCGCCACTTCCAGCTTTTTTCTTTTTATTTATGTGGTACTGAGGAATCGAACCCAGGGCCTCAGGCATGCAAAGCAAGCGCTCTACCACTGAGCCATCTTCCCAGCCCAATTTTCCTGTTTCTTGTTCCAACTTGTGGTCCCAGACACATTCAAAGTAGTACTGTCTTCATTGCAGTGGCACATAAAGAGTAAGAGACATTTTGGCATATGAAACAATTTATGTGGATGATTAATTCTATGATACTGATTCTTTTTCATTATTTGTATGGATTTTAAAAATGGCTAACGTGACAATCCAGTTGTTCATATGATGGAAACAACCTCCAGTCTTCTGTAATAATAACTTAGTATATGTGACTTCATTATCATGGCTGAGCATAGTATATAAATTTTATGGTTTGTTTTCAACTCAGTCTTGGCACACTGAAGCTTTCTCTTATTGAAATTGATTTTTAAAACTATCAAAACTTTGAATGAGGAAATGGGGTCACCTGTGGCTCAAATGGTAGAGCACTGGCTTTGAGCAAAAAAGCTCAGGGACAGTGCCACACCCTGCGTTCAAGCCCCATGACTGACAGGAAAAAAAAAAGTCAAAAAGGATGACCTCATTTGGTTTCCTTGCTAACAGAACAACTGTACGAAATTCGCATTTATGGCTCTGTTTACAATATTACTGACAGACAAGAAAAACACATTTTATGGGAAAAATACAAAATAATTTAGGAATCAGATAGGTCATTACTTTATTACCCATCCAAATATCACTAGCACAGTGGATGCCCCATCATGAGCAAAGATAATTAAATGTTGACATGTTCAATATGTTTGCCAACTTTCAATCACATAAAAACCAGTGTGCTTTATACTCAACTTTCATTCTTGCGGTTATGAGGACACATTTGTCAAAGCAGGAAAATAACTTGATTGGTACTTTTAAATGTTTCCATATGTGGCCCCTGAGTATCTGAAAGCCGTCCTGGCTTTGATGCAAGGGAGAAGAGGGCTTTTCGAATGTAACACTAATATACAAAACTACTTATATCCCATTTTCCTACCATTTGATTCCACGTGTCCATTGTTTCTTCCCTGCCTCAGCTTCTCGCCTCCAGCTGTGCCACCCTCCCCAACCCCATGAAGCACCTGCCACCCTTATTTTGTTCTTTGTTGGTCATGGCGCTTGAACTCTGGGCCTGGGTGCTGTCCCTCAGCTCTTCAGCTCAAGGCTAGTGCTCTACTCTACCACTTGAGCCACAGCGCCACTTCCAGCTTTTTCTGCTTATGTGGTGCTGAGGAATCGAACCCAGGTCCTCATGTATGCAAGACAAGCACTCTATCACTGAGCCACTTCCCAGCCCCTGCCACCTTTACATCTCCCATCATTTCTCATTTTTTTAGGGTGATGGCCAAATCCCTGGACACATCCAAAGAGCTCTCTACCTACTTCTCCACACTACCTCCTACTGTCTTCATCTCTCTGAGCCTACCTTGGAAGCAAGTTCTGCCTCACACTTACCCTCTTTCTTGATAATGGTTTTCCCTCCTAGAAGCAGCTTGAAGGACTATACTTCACATGGCCTGCAGCAGAATATTACAGCTAAGGCGGGGCATAGACATATTCTCACCTGTACCTGGACTTACTTTTACCTACATTTGTTTATTCTTGTGCCAATACTGAGGCTTGAACTCAAGGCCAGCACTCTAGCCTTGAGCCACAGCTCCACTTTTGGCTTTTGTTTGCTGGTGAAATGGCAATAACTAGTTCCTTAACTTTTCTGCCCGGAATAGCTGAACCATGATCCTCAGATCTTAGCCTCTTGCAAGAGTGGGTTTTTTTTTTTTTTTTGGGGGGGGGGCGCTTTTTTTGATTTTGTTTTTGTCGGTCATGGGGCTTGAACTCTGGGCTTGGGTGCTGTCCCTGCGCTCTTCAGCTCAAGACAAGAGCTCTACCGCTTGAGCCACAGTGCCACTTCCAGATCTCAGCCTCTTGAGTGGAGAGAGGCTTCCTTTCCCTTCTTCACACTGTACTGAGCCTTCTCACCTTCTTTGCTTGTCTGGACAAGGCTGGGATTTTGTCCACTCCATCTCTTAGACTTCGTGTTTTTGTGGCTATCAGGCAGCAAACGTAACAAGAAGGCCAGCAATGTTCTATCTCCCTATTCCCTTTTATTTCCCTGCTGCCTTCCTCCTCTCTGCCAGATGCCTCTTTGCTACCATGCAGCTGCCCATCACTGAGGCTGAGGTGTTGGGTGTAAGAGCTGAGGGCCCTGTCCATCCTTCAGTGCTTCCAGATAATGTGGGCAGGCCACACAGCACCACTACACCTGTCTTCTCAGATTTCCAACCACACAAAGGGGTTTATAAGCATAGACTCACTGGCCCCCTGCCTGGGATTTCTGACTCGATAGCTATGAAGGAATTTACATTGCTTCTCTTTTCCCTTCTTTTCTTCTGTTCTGGGCTTTGAACTCTACAGATGGCATGTTTCACATTCATCACTGAGGTGCACTGGTGGAATCTGAGTAGAATGAAGACAAGATCACATTCAGATTTCAATACGATTGCTCTGGACACAGTGAGAACTCGCTTGATTTGCACTGCTGAGCAGAAGGAAGGAGGCTAGAGATGCTTTAGGTGAACCAGTCAGGAGATTGTGTATAGTAGTCCAGGAGCAGAATAAAATGGCAGCTGGAATTAGAAACGATTGGAACAACAGATATTTAGGTAGCAAAAGCCACAGGTCCAAGCCAGTCACCTGTAGCTCACACCTATAATTCTAGCTACTTAGAAAGCTGAGATCTGAGGGTTGTGTTTAAAGCCAGACTGGACAGCAAAGTCCATTAGACTCTTATCTCCAATTAACCACCAAAAGCTGAAGTGTGGCTCAAGTGGCAGAATGCTTGCAGAAAAGTTCGTGAACAGCACCCAGGCTCTGAGTTCAAGTCCCACAACCAAAAAATAAAAAAGGTTGCTAAAGACATTCAGGATATGAGACCCTCAGAGACAGGGTGTGTACAATTATTAGACTCTCAAAAGCCCACTTCTAGGAAGCAGAGGTGCGACTCAAGTGGTAGGGCGCCAGTGTTAAATGAAAAGGCCAATCAAGAGTTCCTGATTCAAACCCCAGAACCAGCATTTAAAAAAAAAAAACATTTTAAGCCAAGTTTCAAATGTAAAACAACAACAAACTCCATGGGTACTTGCCTGTGTAGCAACCATGAAGCCCTGAGTTCAAGTCTCAGTACTAAAAACAAACCCCAAAACAGAAGTCAATTGCTTCATTTTTCTTTTTTTCCTCTTCCTCACGAACACTGGTTGTCAGCACTTCCGTGGAGGGAGCTGGTGCCCTGGCAGCTTTCATCTTCAGGAACTATTTCTTTTAATATCTAACCATCAAAAACTGAGTTAAAGTTTTGCAAAGAGAATATCTTGTTCTGAGCAGGCAGTACCCCTCCCCGCCAAAAAAAGGAGATAGGAGACAAATAATCACATGGTCTGGCATGACTGCCAGAAAGTACATCCAGTATCTCTCCAAATTTGTCT